CTATGGCAAGTCCTTAAAGAAATGGGAGTGCCTGACCACCTTATCTATATCCTGAGAAACCTATATGTGGGACAGGATGCAACAGTTAGAAGTGGATATGGAACAACTGATTGGTTCAAAATTGGGAAAGGAGTACGACAAGGCTGTATATTGTCCCCCGGCTTCTTTAACTTATATGCAGAATACATCATGCGGAAGGCTGGACTGGAGGAATCCCAAGCAGGAATTAAGACTGCCGGAAGAAATATCAACAACCTCCGATATGCAGATGATACCACTCTGATGGCAGAAGTGAGGAGGAACCTTGTAATGAGGGTGAAAGAGGAGAGTGCAAAAAAAGGTCCGAAGCTGAACATTAAAAAAAGAAAGAAAAAAGAAGAAGATCATGGCCACTGGTTCCATCATCTCCTGGCAAATAGAAGAGGAAGATATGGAGGCAGTGACAGATTTTACCTTCTTGGGCTCCATGATCACTGCAGATGGTGATAGCAGCCATGAAATTAAAAGACGCCTGCTTCTTGGGAGGAAAGCAATGGCAAACCTAGACAGCATCTTAAAGAGCAGAGACATCACCTTGCAAACAAAAGTCCACATAGTCAAAGCTATGGTTTTTCCTGTAGTGATGTATGGAAATGAGAGCTGGACCATAAAGAAGGCTGACCGCCAAAGAATTGATGCTTTTGAATTGTGGTGCTGGAGGAGGCTCTTGGGAGTCCCCTGGACTGCAAAGAGATCAGACCTATCCATTCTGAAGGAACTCAACCCTGAGTGCTCACTGGAAGGACAGATTCTGAAGCTGAGGCTCCAATACTTTGGCCATCTCATGAGAAGAGAGGACTCCCTGGAAAAGACCCTGATGTTGGGAAAGTGTGAAGGCAAGAGGAGAAGGGGATGACAGAGGATGAGATGGTTGGACAGTGTCTGCGAAGCTACCAAGATGTATTTGGCCCAACTTCGAGAGGCAGTGGAAGACAGGAGGGCCTGGCGTGCTCTGGTCCATGGGGTCATGAAGAGTCGGACACGAGTAAACGACAAAACAACAACAAGGCATTTAGTCTGTATATTGTGGAACTGTAAATCCTGCCAGCGGCACTGGTTCTCAGTGTCCATGGGATCAAGGTCCCTGATGGTTATGCTGTTTTCTTCTCTCATCATTTGTCCTTCTTTTGCCTATGCACAAGAACTCTGCTACCTGTTCTCAAGAAAGTATGCAACAGATTTAACTGCCGTTTTAAGCTACAAGTCCTAGTATAACTGCCTAATGGTGATTAGAATGGAGAATGCCTCTCTCCATTCCATAGAAAGGCTGAGACAGCAATGCCCTACCCACCTAGTATGTTACTTACTCCTTTCAAATACTGCTTCTTTTTCAATACAGCAAAGCCAACAACTTTGGGCAATAGATTCAAAGACAAAGAAAAAAACTTTCCATAATTATCCTCAAAAATTATTGGCCATTTACTGGTGTATATTTTTCTTTTAAGATACAGCAGTCTAAACTAGCTCACATAAATCTCTTGAGAAGGTGTGCACTTTAGCTTATCAACCCCATGGCTGCTTCTTTGGTTTGTTTGTGGGGGAGGGCTGAGCATCATTTCCTTAACTGCTTTTTTCTCACTTGAAAACTCTGCCCAGTCTCTGCTTTGAAAGCTGATATTCTTGTTACACCCAGTTGTAAGAAAGATGCAGTCGTGTCCTGCTTAATGATTACCCCGCATTACGACGAATCAGCTGATCGAAACAGCTGATCGTCAGGTTTTCAAAATGGCCACCGGGTGCTCAAAATGGCTCCCCGCTGTGCTTAGGGATGGGTTCCTCTCTATATACAGGCACCGAAAATGGCCACCGTATGGAGGATCTTTGCTGGACGGTGAGTTTTTAGCCCATTGGAACGCATTAACTGGGTATTAATGTGTTTCAATGGGTTTTTTATTTTCACTTTACGATGTTTTCACTCTACAGCGATTTCACTGGAACGAATTAACATCGTTAAGCGAGGCACCACTGTATTGATGACATACATAGAAATGGAAAAATGGATCTTTGGTCTTTCATAGGCATACCGTATTTGAATGTGTGGTTGTGATTTCTATCTCATTTTAACCCTTTTGAATTTTAGAACCCAAAATAACCCGTCCTCCTTCAAATGTGAAAATAACAGAAGGATTAAAAGCTGTTTTTCAGTGTACTACAATGGGAAACCCAAAGCCTTCAGTATCATGGATCAAAGGAGAAAATGTTATAAAGGTGAATGCTTTTTGTATTCAAATAAAATAAGCACCTTTTTGCATGGAGGGGGATATATCATGTGTTTGGGAGTGAGGAATGTCAGACTGATATTTGTTTATACTATGAATGCTTTCATCCCTTATATAAAGTATAGTTTCCCTTTTCTCATATTGATCAATATTTGTTGTGGCAGGAAAATGCACGGATTGCTATTCTTGAATCGGGCAGCCTAAGGATTCACAATGTTCAAAGAGAAGATGGTGGTCACTATCGATGTGTGGCAAAGAACAGCCTGGGGACAGCTTATTCAAAACCTGTAATTCTGGAAGTAGAAGGTGAGTGATCATCTGCACAGAGTGTCATATACAGATTTAGTCTTTGCTCCAATATTTGAAACTGAAAACATATGTTAAAGCAATGTGGAAGGTTAAAAGAAAAATATGGAGATATGGAACCAAAAGACAAGCTTTGTTTCCTAAACAAAGTAGAAGCTAATCAATAACAAGCAAACTACAGCATGCATTTAGAAGAAATGATCCTTCAAGTGGTGAAAGATGTTTGTTTGCCATAGCAAGTAATTGTTCTCAATCACATATTTTGCACTTAGTGAATTTTGTTTTGCAGTTCATCAGTTAGAAGTAAACATGGACTTAATCTGCAGGTCTGATGCTGAAACATGCATCTCTGCTGAAGCATGTTGTAAGCACAAAAATGAGCTAATGGAAGAAAATAAGTACTTACTTCAATAAATTCTTTGATCCTTTTCTGTGTGACTTTCCAATTTGGTGTTTAATTGGCTGGTTAAGAGGATGGACATTTTGAATGAAGAAACTTTTCCAGCAACATGCATTTGGGAGTTCTTTTCATGCCACTGCTTCATACTGGATAAAAGTTAGGGCTAGTTCGATATATTTGGGGTGTGCATACTTGAAACGCCTTTCAGTGAAAGTGCAGCATGGTGAGATTACATGTATGCCATTCAGATGGGTATGGTGACTGTCAGACCTGCAGGTGTACCAAGATAGCTTATGAAAATACCTAGATATTCCAACCATGAGGAAAGCACCATCCCATAGTGATCACTCCTCCACTAGCACATAACACTAATGCTGGATGTAGGTTCTTAGATATTTCTAGTGAAGGTATACAAGCCACCACAGAGGGAGCAGTAACACCCTATATCACATGGAGGAGGAATGGGCTGTCAAAGAGGTGGGGCAGACTAGAGTGTCAGCCCCCCCCCCAATTGCTTAAAAACACCCTGACTATGAAAATGGGTATAAGGTAAATGAGTGAAAAGTTCAGGAAGGCATCTTCGATTGGATGTGTAGGTGGAAGGTGGCAACATGCATTCAGCAGTTTTAATTATTCATGCTAGGGCTGATATCCTGCACTGCATTCTCTGGAGCACATAATACACAGGTGAGTTTTCCCCATGCCCTCTAATGCTGCTGTGGCTTACAGAAAGGTCATCACTAGCCCACAGTGAGTTTTTTCCCTCCAGGTGCTGAGTTTGTCCTGCTAGGGCTTACGTAATCAGAAGCCTTGCTCCAGATCACACTAGAACATGTACCATTGGATATTTTCCCAGTCCCTCCCCTGGTGTTAAGCCAAGGAGCCCTAGTGCCACCTGTGAATTGTTAGTGAAGCACACCCAGGCTTTTGTTTTCAGGGGTCATTGGATTTAAGTGTCATAAACAAACAAACAAACAAACAAACAAATAAGACATCATCACCGCGGGGAGGGGGGCGATGATAACTTCCTCAATGGCTCAAGGGGGCGTTTCTTTCAAAAAGGTTAAGAACCACTGCTCCAGATCACACTAGAACATGTAACATTGGATCTTTTCCCAGTCCCTCCCCTGGTGTTAAGCCAAGGAGCCCTAGTGCCACCTGTGAATTGTTAGTGAAGCACACCCAGGCTTTAGAGACACTTCTTGTGCAAAACCCAGAAGTCCTTCTCCAGTACTGCTCATGCTGAAATTTGGAGAAGTACAGCAATTCTCTAGCATGCTAGCTAGAGCCTGATACTGTATTTGGCAACCTAACTGGCAGTGATGCTATCTGGGCAGGATTTGCGGAGCAGGGGCAGCAGTCCAGAGCAATGCAGGAGTGCCCCCAAGCATCACAGTTCTGGCTCACCTTATATTGAAGTAAGTGAATCAATGCTCACGTCTTTTTGAAATGGAGAATAGTTAAGACTATTAAGCTAGTTAACACCCACATATAAGAGGGCCAGAATCTGAAATTACCTAAATCAGAATAAGGAATTTGTTTGGGCTCTTGCTATCCCACCACCCTGCATGGCACAGGTGAATATAAGTGGCTGTGGTCATTCTCCAGACATCATGGTTATTGCCAGTTCCCAAATGCCCACCCACCCACATTGCCAGAATCTGCTATTAATTCAGCTTTGCTTCATTCTCTCCCTCCCCTTCCAGAGTGTGGTGACTGGCAAGCAAAGACATCTCCCAGACACATGCATCAGTTCCTGCAATGTTCTTGCAACCAGTGCTTGGGTCTTGGGAGCTTTCCCAACAATTTTCCCATCAAGATGCCCAGTATAGGTGAATTCTCCCAAAGATTTCTCTGACTCAAGGCTGGAGACAACATATAAGGGCTTCCCTGAGCAACACAGGGTGAATCTACACTGTTGGTTTGACCTTTAGTCAGAGGAATGGGGAGATTTCCCTCCCTTTACTCTACTCTGGATTGGGAGAGTGACATAGCTAAGAAATCCTAGAGTTAAGATGGAGTTATGGGCCAGTATTGCCAGTTCCCAAACATCCATTGGGAGAGAGACATAGCTAAGAAATCCTAGAGAGTTAGATGGAGCTATGGGCCATAATGGGATCACTCATAGGTCAGCTTAGGCCTGCAGGCTGGAGGTTTCCTTGCCCATCATCTAAATACACCAGTATTTACTGTTAACATAATGCTGGACAGGATGGAGTAATCAAGCAATGAAATTCTTATGTTTTCTCATATTAGCAAGTAAGTAAAGGCAGAAACTATAGAAAGCATGTATGCTGTCTGTCGAGGCCCCTTCTAATTCAAATAGAACCTCACATTCTATTTGAGTTAATTTCATTTATTCACTGTTGAAGGTATACATAAAAATACAAAGGGGGTTCACATCCAATTACTGAATCTAATGGCATTCATATGATTTAATTTGTTATTTATTATTTGCAGGGCATATAATAAATTCTGCAAATAAAATAAATGATGCATGCTTCTTATAAGAAGAAGCACAGTAACATCGAGGATTAGAGAAAAAACAGAAGTGCATAACTGATGTACCATTTAGGATCAAAATGCTTTTTTTAATGTCGGGGGATGAGGGTTAGCAGAGGAATAAAGAGATGTGGGAGGGGAGCCAGCTCAAGATATTTTGGTCCCTGAGGTGAAGCAGTAAATAGTACTTCCTTCTCAATTAATGTATATGATACCAATGACCAGTGAAGAAATTATTTTGGTACCCAAGGCAAGAAGTCTAATACCTACTGATTTCCCTCTCTGATAGTAAAAATGTACTAATTAACTCATTTGCTTCCTTTTATAAGACTCAGAAAAAGCTGCCTAAAGCATAAGCTTCATTCTGACTAATGATATACAAAGTCCTGAGTGAAAATATGAATGAAATCTATTCAAATTCCATAGAACTTATTTAAACACAACAGGAAAAGAAAGAGACATAATGCATTGTTTATCTGGGACAATTATTTGCAGTTGACTTCAAATAATTTTATTAACAATTTGCCACTCTTTTGGCACTTCCTGGCACAGAAGCATTTGAGTTATTTAGGTCTGTTTTATTATTTCTCTTCTTTACCTACATTTTGCTTCTCACATGCAAAATCGCTTTGTATATGCTTATGAATTTGCTGTGAATTTTAGCTCATTGGATAACTTTTTGCTGGTTATAAGACTTGAGCCAACACATCAACTTTGTAAAGAATCACTACAAATGGAGTTGAAAAATTTCAAAGTTTTATTTTAAAGCTGGTTACTAAGAAAATGAGCATTGCACTTAGATTTGACCTTGATAGTATTTATTTATGTATTTGTTTTCTAACTCACCTTTCTCACTGTAAAGAGACTCAAGCAATTTGTCTTTTTAAAATTGTGAGGGATGTTTTTAGGAGTGAGAATATTCACTAGTTTTCGTCATTTCTTTGTTATCCAGTTCTCAATGAGATAAATACAGCAGATGGAGGTATTTTTCAGACCGCGTGTGCTGTGTTTTTGCAATTATAGCATTAATGATATTTGCAGTGACAAAATTCCAAACTATCAACTTTGTTTGGTTGATGACACTAACAAAGTTTATTGGGACTGATAGACAATATGTGAAAAAGCTAACATTAGGGGTGCCTGTAAGCTATTATATGTATTATACAATCTATTAGTCTAGCTCTATTCTAAACAGTAACTGAAATTCTGTTGCATTGCTATGCAGGCAGAAGACAAATGGTGTGACATTCACTCACTTCTGGCTGGTAATTAGTTACTGCTGCAATCCTGTGGTGGCTGATCAGTTGCAGGTGTTCTTGGATGAGACTGATACGTAGTTGAGTCCATTTCAATCAGGGCCAGATTATGGTATTGAAACGGTATTGGTCTCTCTGCAAAACTATCTCTTAAGGGACACAAACAGGGAGAGTATAATCCTGTTGGTACTCCTGGATCTTGCTGCGGCTTTTGATACTATCAACCATGGTATTCTTCTGGGAGCCTACCATGTTTAGGGATTAAGCACTCTGATTTTCACTGGTTCTAGTCCTTCTTTGTTGGCTGATTCCAGATGGTACATCTTGGGGATGTTGTATCACCTCTTGGGACCTCTCTTATGGGGTCCCAAAGAGGTCAATTATCTCCCCAATACTTTTTAACATCTATATGACGCTGCTAGGAGAAGTCATTCAGAGATTTAGAGTTTGCTGTCACCAGAACACTGATGACACGCAGCTCTGTCTTCCCTTTTCATCATCTGCAGAGGATGCTCTTTGACCTTGAGCACTGCCTATTGTCGATAGAGGACTGGGTGAAGGCCAATAAATTGAAACTGAGTAAAGGTATGACTGAGGTCTTGCTGTTAGAAGGATTGTCAGAGCAGTTAGGAGGAAATTTACCTGTCCTGGATGGAGTTATACTCCCTATGAAAGATTGGCTTTGCATTTTGCGGTACTTATGGATCTGGCACTCTCTGTGGAGGTTTAAATATCAGTCGTGGCCAGGACTGCCTTTTATCAACCTTGGTTGATTGCCCAGTTGCACCCCTACTTGGATAAGAAATGCCCAATAACTGGTTCATACATTTGTAATCGCAAAA